CCCAATTCAATTCAGTTCAATTCAGTTCAATTCAATTCAGTTTATTTATAGTGTCAAGTCAACAAAAGTAGTCTCAGGGCACTGAACAGAAACATTCACAAACAAGTCAACAAAAGTAGTCTCAGGGCACTGAACAGAAACATTCACAAACATTACAAAAACAATTAGTGCTCTGTCTAAGGAAGCCAAGAGATAGCATTGAATCTTCACTTCATCACAGTCTCACATCCTGAACAAGCACAAAGATGACAGTGGAAAGGAAAAGCTCCCTTTTAACAGGAAGAAACCAGCAGACCCAGGCTCAGGACGAGCGGCCATCTGTTTTAACCAGCTCGGGTTTGAGAGGACAGGAAGGAGAATCAAACACAAAATGGCAGGTCCAGGTGAACTTTCTATTGGAGGAAATACAAAAAAAAAACATGTTCATGATAGAAATAATTACAAATACAAACAGGCAAGTAGAGACAGCAGCAGAGTGAGGAAATGCCAATTTGGCCTCCAGCAGTCTGAGCCTATAGCAGCATAATTAAGGGATAGCTCAGGAAACCTAAACCAACCCTAACTATAGGATTGATCAAAAAGGAAAGACTTAAGCCTAATCTTAAAACTGGACAATGTGTCAGCCTTACGGACAGAAACTGGAAGTTGGTTCCACAAGAGATCGAGGAGCCTGATAACTGAAGGCTCTGCCTCATATTATAACTGGCACGAGCCATTTGGAAATTGTTTTACACCGAATGCTCTTCCTGACACAACCTGGGCTCAAAGCTTCAACGTCAGGATTACCAGACCTGACAGGCGGCACTGACCACCGAGCTACAGCGGCTCCCACAAACATGTTACAGTAAGCAACATTATTCTAAATTAGAATAGAAGTAGAAGACCAGGTTTACTGGCTCAGTCACACGGGCTTATTTGTATGAATGCATCCTGGCACACACATGCACACACATGCACACATACACACAGTCTTTTAGGAAACATTAGAATGACTTACAATACTGTACTTCAGATGAACCAGCCCTTAACTGTACAAAATAAAGTTGGCACTAATCTGACTGTGCTAACAGAGTTTCACACTGTGAACAGTGATTTAATTCGTTCTGCCAAGAGGCCCCCAAAAGATTTTAAGCTCCTTCGGAGACATGTGATTTTTCTTTGAATTATTTTTTTTCTTCACACCAAATCAGTTACAGCTAAAATGAGTATTCACCAGATAGTGAAGGTCATGCAGATGACGATATACAAAACGACTGTCTTTGTCATTTATAACCACAAAAAAAAAAAAAAAAAAAAAAAAATTAGACAAATATTATTTCAAGTGTACTACAAAGATTTATTTAAAAACATATGAACACGATGCTTATATTTCTAAAGTGGTTACTGATGCTCTTGCATCTGAAAAAAAGTTTGTTTTTTTTTTGTCTACAAATGTTTATTTTGTTTTGTTGCTTGAATTATGTACAGTTTTTAACAATCCAACCATCCATCCATCCATCCATCCGTCCGTCCGTCCATCCATCCATCCATCCATCCATCCATCCATCCATCCATGTCCTGGATGGATAAATGGAAACGGTCCAATAACAAACACCCAGACATCCCTCTTTCCTATGATACTCCAGGTTCTTCTTTGCGTTCCCAAGGTGTTCTCAAGCCTGAGATGATACACTTTACAATACCACTAGTGAGTTCTAGGTATATACTGGGGTCTCCTGTGTCCTGGGGTAGGACATTCTTAAAATCCTTTAGAGGAAGACGCCATCCCAATCCCCAAATCACCTCAATTGACTCCTTTCTGTGGAAAGAGCTTTATTCTGATCTCCCTCTGGATGATGGTGCTGTACAGACCATTGCAGGGCAGTGTAAAGACGTCACAAATCAAGGACACATATATGTTCTTCTTGGTCTCCTGGCTACCAGAGCAATAAAAATGTGACAAGTAGGTTTCCCCTTTCCATGTTTTGTTTATGACCTCCTGACATCAGGAAAAAGATATCACACCACTGATTTAAGAACAACCTAAATGTGCATCAGCTTCATTCCACAACCAGACCCGTATTAAATAAGGAAGCATGATCAACAGTATATGTAACGTCCCATTTTTGAGACTGAAAAAAACAAATGAAGGGATTTGATTTGATAGTTTCAGTCCACATCATTTGCTTGGTTTTGTAGTCCATACAACAATCCCAGGACAGATTACTGGATACAATGACAGCCAACAGCATTAAAATCTCCTTTGGATGTGAAAGTTCAGCCTCATAAATGATGCATGAACCTGCAGAGTCATTCTCACATTTCAAGTGAATGTAAGAGCTGCAGGCAGAAGGAAATTTGGCCAGTTTAGTCTGTGACATCAGCCAAAACCCCCTAATGTACACACAGACATGCACACACACACAAAAAAATTAACTTAAATGTTTCTGGAGATTATTCTGCTCAGCATCATATTATTTTCTACTTTACAAAAGTGAATAAAACACAACACAGTTAAATGTACTGATTATGCTGTTATATTTACCATACTTTTGTTTTGGTAAAGATGTGACATATATGATAATTTAGTCATTTGAAGAAGCACATATTTGTGTGTAAATATGTGCATTTATATGTGTATTCATTCATTCAACCTTTATTTAGACAGGTAAATCCCATTGAGCCTCGAGGACTCATTTACAAGACAGACCTGATTATACCTGTATATATATCTTGAAAACGTATTGAGTTAGACAGACAGACAGACACACAGACAGACAGACAGACAGAGACAGACAGACAGACAGACAGACAGACAGACAGATAGATAAACAGATAGACAGATAGATAGATAGATAGATAGATAGATAGATAGATAGATAGATAGATAGATAGATAGATGATAGATAGATAGATAGATGATAGATAGATACTTTATTAAACCCGACACAAATGAAATAATCAAAAAAGAAGAAGAATACACAAATTTGGAAAAAGACAATATGCACATGCACAAGGTGGTAGGAAGTACTACATTCATGATTAACCAATATATATGTATACATACACATCTAAGCATACACATACATTTGTATATACACTTGCATATGTACATATAAACATACATACATGTGTATCTGGAGTACTGCAGATTTACAAGGCTCTATTTTTACTGTATGGGAGGAGTTGAACAGTCTGATGGTTTGAGGGACAAAGGACTTCCTGAATCTGTCCGT